ATTTACCTCCACTCCCCTACCCTTTGAAATGCTCACTGTGGGGCTGGGTAATTAGCAAGAAGAAAACTAATCTTTGTATTTACATTTATTGGAGAGAAAGAGGTTACAAGAAAGCAAACACACAATGGGGAACACAAATAAAAGGATTGTGATAGCACTGGATATTTGATAGGAGGTTTAGTGTGAAAGAGCATTTAGTGTGAAACTAATTGGGGTCTTGCAACAGCATAGGTTCTAGTTAAGGTCATAGAGTTGGTTAGCACTTTTTAAGGGATGTGCTGCCCTGCAGAAAAAAGTAGCTCCAGAAGCTTACTTGTGCAGTCTTTCCACTCTGTGAAGGAAAGGAAACTACATACCATAGGACTACAAGTGCTAACTGACTGTAATGGCATATACATGACTAAAAGAAACGGCCAAATACATAAATGTAGTGTTGGTTGCAAAGTTACTTTTACATCTCCATTGTAACTCTGAATGGTTGCTGTCTGAGACAGTTGCTAAATGAGGACTACCTGTACCAAACTGCCTACAGCAGGAGTGTCAAACTCAATTTCATTGAGGGCCACATCAGTGTTATGTTTGACTTGGGGGTCCAGGGTGGGTGGCCAGATTGGGCATGGCCAGCTCGATGTGTTGGGGATGCCTGTGGAGGCCCAAGCACTCTGCCAGAGAAAACAGGCTCCCAAGCTCCGTTTTCGCTGGCAGAGGCACCACAGGCCAGTCCTTCACTGTTTCAAGGGCGATCCCACGGGCCAGATCTAAGCACTGTGTGAGCCAGTTCTGGCCCCCCGGGCCTTGAGTTTGACATCCCTGACCTACAGTGTAAATTTTGAATGTGCGTTTATCATGAACTAGTTAGCTATGTTAGGAACTTGACTCATAATTGAATCATGATCTATTGAATTAACCTAATTGAATTGGCATCACACTGAACCATAAACCAACCACAGTGGTTGAGCTTTCACAATATAGTAGGCTACTAACTTACCACCCATAATTTGGCCTACACATGTTTGCGGTGAACTCAGTTACAGTTGATAGTAGACCTCAGGATTAAAGTTCATAAGGGAAGAATCACTAATCAGACTTCCTTGTATATACTAGGGAGCAGCAGACAAGGACTGCAGCCAAACAACTTCATGAGCATTCAGGCCATAAATTGATGAAGTTCATCATAACATTTTTTTTAAAAAAATTGCAGTGACAGGTTCTTATTTTGCGATCCTTAGTAAAGTTACTCCTGAGTCAGATGTGATTGCTAGTGACTTCACAGACCCACCCATGCAATTTTCTGGGCACCATTACAAAAAGGGTCTGCCTTTGCCTTCTTAGGCATATTACTTAGGAATAAACACTGCTTTGTAGTGGAAATATTTACTACATTTCAAAAACAGGAAAACATTAACTGAGCGTGTGTAGCTATGTTCATGTCCAGGCATACACAACTCAACTATAAAATATTAACAATAAAAAAGTGCTGTCTGAGCTGTGTCAGGCACTATTGTGTCTAAATTATCATTTCCTCTTCCAAGACTTTAGACTAAGATCAACCTTATCCCTCTGCCCTTATTATGTTGTGATGCTTTGTGAGTACTTTAAAACCTGTGAAATATAAGCCGCTGGGGACCCTTCCCGCTAGACTGTTAGCGCCGGCCTTCTGCTGAACTACCAGACCCAGCATTCCCAAACAAGTGGGCCAGCCCCTTTCCCTTTCTTCAGTCAGGTTGGGATGGCAACGGCCAAAAAATTCCGGCTCTCACGCTGAAAGGCAATTCTGGGAGTTGTAGTTTCCATACTTTTCAAGCGCTCAGCTTAAGGAGGGCTACTTAAAATACAGCAAACCCCACTTTATTATATCCTTGATTCACTTGTTTCTCACTTGAACTTATTGTCTCACATGTGGAAACTTGTAGCTTTTGCCATTCTTGCTGAGCTCACAGCACTTTTCAAAGAAATTACTAGTTTATTTTAAAGTCCACATACTGGGCTGCTATGATCAGCTGTAGTTGAACAAACAGAAGCTCACATACTCATGTATGTTGTAATTTACAACATGTAAATTATTTTGGCACAGTGCATATGAACTTATGGTTAGCTTGGAATTTATGTCAATAAAATAGATAAAACAGCTCTTTATTTACTGGAAACATTTGTTCGTTTTTAAAACCTTATTTTTCCCTTTTGAACAAGTGCCAATATTCCAGGTCTAGATGTATATTTGCAGTTCTTTTATTAAATTCAATTAATTTACAGACAGAGTCTTATGACAAACTTCTGGTAACACTTTTTTAAAATAAATCTGTGAACATCAGCTTTTGTATAAATATATTCTAGTCATAATGCATTTATAGAAGAGGAGGGAGAACCCCTGAAGAATGAGAACTGAGAGCAGAAAAATGGTGCAAATACAAATATATACAGTATTTAAATACTGTTATTTTAACATTCTTGTTAAAATCCTCTTAGGCTGGTTAGCACATGATTTATGTAACACCTTTTTCTTTAGCTAGTCCTGAGTTATAGGCTGAAAAATAAAAATACAGCACCATGCATTGTTCAATTATTAGTAAGCTTCACAAAACCCACAAAATAAAACCTGCATAAAGATACTGACAATGGATCTTAAATTTTTGCTGCTATCCTTTCTTGGGATTTGGGAAGTTGTACTTCTGTCTAGGGCTAGACCTAGGGACCCCCAGGTTAGGGAAGACCACTCTTGCTCAGTGGTTTGGAACCCAGAAACTTTTTTTCCTGCTGTAGCTCCTACATGAAGAATATGTTGCAGCAATGAATAGTACTTAATACTGGGAGGAAGTGATCTTTGAAATGCTCTGCTAATCAGGGAAAGTATTTATAAATCATATTTGTAAGGCTGTCCAACTCTAGGCAATTCTGAGGAGAAAACAATTGAAACAATATATGAAAACCATTGAGGGAGTCAAAATACTTAACCTAGAGAGAACAACCCATGACATGTGCCACACCCTCTCTTCCCCAAAGAAGCCTTCCATAGTCCAAGTCTGGAGGGAAATTCTAGGCTTGCTCAGAGAAGAGCAGAGCAGGTTGTTCAGATCTCTAAAGGATGTATTCCAATCAATCCATTCCAGTTCCAGTAAAGGCATTTTTCTGGGAGTTGATCAGACAATGTTTCTTAATGAATGCTGTGTAATCACTAGCATCTTCAATTGTGTCATGAGGAAGGCTTCTTCATATAAGAATGAGCACATCTGATACACCAGATGGATCCGTACAAAAGGTCTTCCTTGTCATAGCTGCCACCTGCTCTTTGAACAAGAGCTGAAATTCCAGAAGAATCCTAAATTGCACATCAGTCCTGAAAGGAGAAGTGTGACTCCCAATCAGAACTAAGGTTGAACATTTGGTAACCCTACACCCAGAGTCATTTGGTCTTGTTAGGGTTAGACATGAATCTGCTCCTTCCCATCCAGGCACTGGAATAAGAATTTGCATCCCTTGGTCAGCCTTGATTTGGGAAAAACATCTGAGTATAATTGGCATACTGATGATGCCTCTAAACCAATGGGTGACCTTCTTCATCAGTATCATGTAGGTTAAACACAAGGGGTGAGAACATTGAGTCCTGTGGCATTCCATTAATACATTAAATGGCTTTCAATTCTATCATTTCCCTCCTATTAGTATGGACTGGAACTAATATGGACAAAGGAGGAGAACCAGCACAATAAATGCAATCAGTACAATCTCCACATTATGTTCCCACCATCTATCCATTTCTTTCAGGGTTCTCTGAAGCTACAGATTTTGGTATTTAAGGCTTGCTTGTAGGAGAGGAATGTAGGGGCAGTCCATATCTAGAGAATCTGTTCTGGTCAACCCACTCCAGTTCCTAAGGTTAGTTATTGCAACAATAAAGGCACATTTCTGGGAGCTGATCAGACAACATTTCTTAATGAATGCCATGTTGGGCTAATCATATCTTGAATTGCCTAGCGGCTTACTAGCAACCAATTTAGTTTACATGACTTAACCTACCAGGTACCAGGATATACTTCACAGAAACCCAGAAGATAGTCCTGTGACCCATCCCTCCATACTAATGAGTGAGTCACTTTAAAAATACAGCTAGATGGATATCTATGAGTACAGTGAGAATGGAAAAATAGGTTTTGCTGGACTTGTCACCACAATGACAAGTGCCTAATATAGGCATACCCTTGTCACCTGCCCATTCCAGGCCAAAACTAAGGTCTCAGTTGTACGGGCTACCAGATCCTCAGGGAAAAAAACATGGGTTTCATCTGGAACCAAATAGTCCATAAACTATCCAGAGCAGGAGCAACCCATCTCCCTTCCAAAAAAAGCAATCAAAGAATAATCAGACCATGATGAACAACAAAAATGGGTTGAGTAAACAATTGTTTGGTTAATTATGCTTAAGTGAAGTCTGAGGAAAAATTTAATTCGCTGTACAACCTAATAACATGCAAAAAGATTGTTCACTACTAGATGTAAGCAACATGGACTGGAAACTCGAATTCACTTTTATGTTTTAATAAATGAAACCTGACTCAGAATATTGCAAAGTCAAAAAAAGCATACAGGAAGAAGGCAACTGAAACTTTTTCCATGCTGTTGCTGAAGAAAATCATATGGCCTCGTTGCTGCAGTCCCAACTCTTCCTTGTTATGTTTCACCAAGGACAGTCACTTGAAAATGATGGATTAATTTTAATTTTACTCATTTACTAAATGAGTACAAAAAAAAGACAGAAAAAGAGCAAGAAAGAATATTTTTTCAAAAATTGTGTATGGTTAAGAGGAGGTACACCTATGTTCCTTGCTTTTTCAAAATAAAAAAGGAGAACTTACAGGTTGATTTCAACTCTATGGTCTGCTCAGACTCGGTGACGATATTTATTAAATGTGCCTGCCGCCCATCTCACGCAGGACCTTCTCTCCGGATCGTTTGTCCGGGGCAGGCACCGGGGACGCGTCACGCAGCCCTAGCAGAGCCCCGGAATCTCTCTGTGCAGTTGTGCCTCCCTGCTGGTCTTCGGCCCAGAGAGCTCATGCGTGGTCGCTCTGCTTGGGTGCTGCTGGCCCTTTAAGCTGCGGGGAAGAGAAGCGTTGCGAGCGAATGGCGCTCGGGTCCGCTGCGGGTCGCATCCTTCTCTCTCCATGGTAAGAGGCGCGGCATTCCTCCCCCCCCCCACATACCCCCCTCCATCTTTTTATGGGCAGCTGGATTGAAAGTTTAGCGTACAATCAAAGCAACTGACGGTCTTTGGGGATGTCAGGTGGCAAGTCTGCCTTCTCAGTCGCCCTCTGTCCGCTGCTGCCTTTCCGTCTCCCGGCGACGGTTGCTGAAAAAGTGGCGGAGACCGAAAAGAAAAAGGCGGAAAGTTGTTTCTCGATCGCTTTTCCCGCCCGCCGCTGGCTAGGATCGCCCAAACTTTCCTTGTCCCGTCGGACTCTCATTCACCCCCGCCCTTCTGAGCGTGTAGCGTTACAAACGAAAGAAAACGGTGCATATATTTCAAAAGGGGCAGATTTTCTGTCATCTGTCATCTGGGGAATGGGCAGGATTCCTGGTGCCTTTCTTGCCTTGCCAAAGAGGCGGCGGTCTTGCCAGGTGGTAGTTGTCCGCTACTCTTAATGTAAAGGCTATAGTGTATTTTAGAATATTTTGATTCTACCTATTGTTTGTGTGTAGATATGCTCACACCCTTTTAGCTTTGGATTGTCCAAAATAACATGGAGTCTATTAATAAAGCATATTTCTCCAGGTGGTTATTTTACCTATTAAACTGATAATACCATAAACCATTAAAACTTTTCAATGTGCACCAAAAAATAAAATTGAAGATAAAATCCAATTGCGGAAAAAACAGAACTTAGTAGATTGTTGATTATATACAAGAATAATAAAATGCATTGAACTGGAGGATAAAAATCCATTTAATGCTCTAACGTAGGGAGACTGGAATACTTCTTATTCTTTGATCCTCTCATTTTATTTAGGACTTCTGGATTTTTACCTTTGCCTTTTTAAAATACCAGTTATATTCCTTGTTCACCAGGCCCTTCATGAAGCAGATCATGGCCTCATCAGTCAAATACTGGTGGATTCAGAAGAGAATCTTAGTGTTTGCAGTGAGAAAATGCAGCCCACATCTCCATATAACTGGAACACAGATTGGAGCTTCTGGGTAAATTCAAATTTTCCTTCCCCCCACTACCCCTCCCCCATTTTAGAGAAGTGTTTTCTTATTCAAGGATGTGTGTTTTTTACCGCTGTTTAATTAAGTCAATATTTTCCTCTGCCTTGGAGAAAATGTATACTTAGTAATACTTAATGTATTAGTTTGTCTCTTTGTTGAGTAACTGAGGAATGACTTCACTGTTATATTTTATACGAAATTATTGTTTAAATTGGCTATTCTAGAGAGAATGGAGACTTGGTGTTGTTTTCCTATTAACTTAACTTTAGTTGTTTTATATTGCACTTGAATGTGGCTTTTTTATTTTAGATTTTTTTTATCCCACCTTTATTATTTTCCCCACAACAACAACCATGTGAGGAGTATTGGGCTGAGAGAGAATGACTTGCCCAGTAGTCCAGGCAGTTTTGATGTCTAAGGCAGAACTAGAACTCATAGTCTCCCGGTTTCTATCCTGGTGCCTTAATCACTAGACCAAACTGACTCTTTCTTGTCTTGTCACTATTGGCCACATGTTTGGGCTGCACGTTTTAGCATACTAGGAATTGGAATTACGTTCTGAACAGGTATTCTTATATTCTGGGTCACTGGAATTTATGGACATTTGTACAGTTTGTACCTGAAATAAATAAAAAATACCCATTAATTCTGAGGTTTTAATCTTAAAAACACTATGATACACTCATTGCAAGAGATAAATTTATAATTGTGCTTTTAATTGTTGTAAAGATTGGAAGCTACTTCTTTGTATCTTTTTTTCTTTTTCTTACTTTGTATTAGCATCTATTAATTTTTATCTTTTTAAATTTAGATATCGTAGATGAATGATCCACTCCCCTGAACTTGAGTTTTAATTTTGAAATACCTATAATCCTAGTAAGGAGAATCACGTTATTGAGTGGTCTACTATTTGATATTGAGATTCATTTCTATATAGGTAAACATGATCAGGTGACCCCTGGGTACACAGTATAGCCAACTGGTACAGAGACTTCAGAACAAAATGTCCCTGGCAATGAAATACAAGTAAACAACCACTGAAAAGGAGGGCTAAGATGGTATCGTGCCAAGATTTTTGGAGATTATTTAAACTAAAATAAAATTTCACAACATATTTAAAAACCCTGAAAGGTTACTTAATAATTAATAGAAGGTACTAACGGGCCTTTAAAAACTAAGGTAATTTTAATTAGTGGCCAAATGAGAAAAAGAGCTAAGCACTCTCAAAGCCATATGGAGACAAGGATTATATTGCAAGAAATGTTAAATTGAAGAACAGAACAGGAGTTAGCAGGGTATGGACCCCAGGATCTGTTCGGGCTCCTAAAACACCTTTGAAATGAGTGGTGCTTACAAATTAGGGGTTTTTTTATGTTGGAAAGAAAAGATTTTAAGGGGCAAAGTGGTTGCCTTAAGCCTGTGCAATGCTTAAAATGTATATTTTGTTCCTCAAACCCTTTCAAAATTATACTGATTTTTTTCATTTTGGCAGAATTGAAGAAAGAAATTAACACCATACATCTCAACAAGGGTTAAAGCCACCTCTTGGTTAAAAAGCTCAGCCCTTAAAAGGCAGCAAGTTTGATCCTCCCCACTTTCACAATGTCATGTCATTTGCTACTTCATCTTTAGCTTCTGGGAGACTAAAGCTTTGAAATGCAATTCAGTATCTACAAAAATAAAAATAGACCATTAAATATTTTTCAAGCAGCAAACAAATTAAAGAAATCATTGGAACAGAGGAAACAAATGTTTTAAGGAATTGCTAAAGTAGTAGATAGATATTTCTAAAAGAAGTAGGCATATTCGTGTTAATCTCCACTGTAAAAGAATTGGATAGATATCCAAATCTGAACATTTTGGTAAGGAGAGCCATTTGAGAAGTTAAGAGAAATCTATTTGTCCAAAATTCCAAGAGTGGCAGTTTCAAATTTAACAAAACATGAATAGACTATACCTGCATGTTTGGAAGGAGACAAAAAATTACAAACTTCACGGTATGCCATCTTGTGTCAGACAAACAGCTGGCAAGCGTTATAAGTGACAGAATAAGCCTTTCTTAGCTGATCCTTCACATGTACCTAAGCAGGGTCGGATAGGTTTGCAGATAGTCCTTGTTTAGCAACTACTTCATTTAACAACCATTTTGCAGTTACAATAGTGATAAAAAAGTAACTTATGATCAATCCTCACTTTTATGAACTTCACAAGTTTGTAAAGCAAAGAAAAGCCGAAGTAAGAGCTGATGGACTGAAAGCAGCCTAAGCAGTTAGTGAGAAATAAAACGGAAAAATCTAAATCTTGACTGGAAAGATCTAAGCCCTAAAAAAGAAAGTTATGTCTAGGGGAAAATGGGGGCAATACTGCTACACTGCCTTTCCATAACAAATAGCTTATCACAGAATGCAACAGTCTTTTAGAGTTCTTTAATATGTTAACAAGCACTGGGTAGAAGTGACTCAATAGGTTTCATGTACTTAAGCATTTATAAATCTGTTGACAAAAATCTTTTACTAAAACTTATCAAACTTGGTGGAATTGGAAACTTCTTACAGACTACTATTATTACAGAATAGGCTATATGATTTTATGTATGATTAACAGGCAGTAGGTTAATCTTTCCTAATTCAGCACTCCAATTCTATTTTCCTAGCCCTGATATTTATATTTTTAAAATTTGTAATTATATATATATATGTCAGGTTTAGTTTGAAATGTAAGTTCCAAATGATTTCCATTTGCAAGATGACAAGAATCTCTCAAGTTTAAAATAGGTATTTTTTTGTAAACCATGCAATACCCAGGATCTGTTTGTGCTAACAGTACAAACATTGAACTGCTCCAAGCATAGAAGCATTATCTGAGCTATCTGTTGATTAGAGTTTTGAATTATTAATCATACTCTGGGCATGGGAAATCTGAGTCAGTAGTTACGTGAATTATCCGAGTTGATGAAGTGAATCAGCTGCAATTTGGGATTTAGTCCCATGCTTGTTTCTCAGCATCCCACAGTTGCTCTTGGGCTGGAATTAGATGACTTAACAGTAAGAGCTATTTTATTTCCTGAATTCAAGCTACAGGTAAGCAAACCTTAGGTATGGGAGCACTGTTGGGCTTCTGAGATAATGATGCTAGAGAATTAATAGAAATGCCCATCTATGGAAGCTCCTCATCTTTAGTCATTTTTTTCCTGGCAGGTGGGCATTTTAATTAAGTTATGTTGGACTAACATGTACAAATGAGACCACCAGTATTCTTTAAAATAAAAGCAATCTCCTAGATGGGATTGCAGTGTAGTGGTCCTGGGCCTAGGATTGTTTCCAGTAGTATTTCTCAACCCCAGCAATTCCAAGATATATGTACAGTTCTCAGTGGTTGGCTGGAGGAATTCTGAGAATTGAAGTCCACACATCTTAGAATTGCTAAGGTTAAGAAACACTGGTTTGGAGATACTGTACATCCCCAATGTTAACCAAGCTCCCTGCCTAGCAATGATATTTTTAAAAGATTTTTTAAAAGAATACATTGGAAGCTGACATGCTACAGTATACTAGTCTCAAAGATTACTTTTATTTTGCTAAATTGCTATGAGATCCACTTGATGGGACATATCAGCTCAATTTGAAAATAAAAATGGTTGCAATAATGCTTTGTCCAGAAAATCAGAGGTATGCAACAATAGTGGAATACACAAATCATAGAGGAGACAGTTTTTAGTAGTAAATATTTTGTGACCAGTTATCCACTGTGTGGTAGCCATTTTGTGAGATACCCCTGACAAGTTCTCAAAATTTTGAATGTATTTGCTCAGAAAAATTGCCTATATATTTTGAAGTCAACTTGAATTTTAGAATTAATAATAAGACATTTGTTTAATTTTGCATGTTTGCTAATGATGATTCTTGAATGGAATACTAGGAAGGCATTCTGCAGAGAACATTGTTTTCAGCTATCCAATATAACTGTGTGGAAAGGAAGAACAAGAATTGTTAATTAAGTCCTAGTGGTAGGCCAGACTGTCTTTAAAGGTTTCCATAAAACTCTAATTGCTCCCTTGGAGACTTACTGTGGTTTAATCCATTAGAAATTAGAAAGAGACAATGCTGCCAACCTACTAACAGATATGAATTTTCAAAAGAGAGCTTTGAAATAGTCATGAGAAATAAGTGACAAGCCAACTGTCTTCTGCTTGGTGTGTATATATGTGTGTTTATATTTCTGAGGCTACTTAGAGAGTTTTATCTTGTCTAAAACTATGAATGGCTTTTTAAAGTGCTTTGTTGATGAGGCTAAATTTATGATATATCATTATTCTTGATTATCTAAAATATAAAAGATACATTTGATAATTTAATTATTAAAAGCCAATTATATATTTATGTTTTCCATTGCAAACAGCTTCTTATTTTTCTAAGTATTTAACTTGTCCATGTTATTATCAGTACCATGAAACAAGAATGCAAAGTTCTGGTCCCCATATAAGTCACCAAACCACGTCTCTCTGTTGATTAGCTCCCCATCTCCCTTGCCCCACCCTTCTGTTGATCCAAAGAAATATCAAGGGATAATCAAGAATGATTTCTTTTCTATTCCCTTTCTTGCCTGACAACGTGACTGATGACTAGACTAGTAATAAAATAACAGATTGAAGGAAATGAGCTAGCATGACTTAGATCAGGTGCTAACATTCCTCATTTAAAATACCGTATTAACTTTTGAATTCAGTCTACTTGTAGCAAACTGTTAATTTCTTTCATTTTATGTGATGTTAATTAGATGCTTCTGTAACGTTTGCCAGGTGAATAGCTGCTGACTACTGCATGTTCTTACAATTGATTCATAACAAACCTATGAATGTTAATCTCTTGACTGCATATTCTCAAACATAAAAAGCAGTCAGTTCCTAATGCTATAAACAGTATGTTGTTTTATGGCAAGCCCAGCTGTTCCATAAAGCAATTCTGATCAATCGGTGAAAAGCAAACAAA